GTTCCGCGAGGTTGAGGAACTGATGGAGGACACGCAGCACAAACTGCGCAGCGCGGTGGAGGAGGTGGGTGCGTCCCAAGGGCCCGCGCTCCTGGGAAGCCGGAGGCTGGCGACCGCGGGGGCAGGGGAAGCAGTGCTGCGGGGGCTGGCCAGGGTCCTCCGGTCTGCGACGGGCTGGGCAGGGCCGGCAGCAGATTCCGAGAGATCTGGAGCAAGGTGATCCCAACTGCCACCTCATTCTGCCTTCCTGCCAAAAGATCTAGATCTGAGGCTGTCCATCCAGGGACTCCTCTTGGACCCACCCACGGGCAGCTGGAGGTACCACCTGCCTGCAGGCTGACCGCCATCACCCCACAACTATCTTCAGGTGTGCAGTTGGCCTCATCCTATTTTAAATGGATGCCTGTAAGGGCCCTGGTAGTCTAGCGCTTTGGTTTTGCAGAGGAAGCTCCAGGCATCTCAAGTTCTAGCTTGTCTGTTGGGCTTCGAGCTTGTCATGTTCCCAAGAAACAAGGCGCCATAAGGCGACAAAGAGCCCTGAGCTTGGCTGGGTAGTCTGTCTGGGCTTTCTCAAGTGCCATGTGGGGCTGAGAAGGAAACTAGGAGCCCCAAAGCCCAGCAGTGTCAATTGTTAGAGGGTGGGTGAGAGGAGGAGGGGCAGTGTGAAGGGCAGGCCCCCAGCCCAACCCCACCCCAAGAGTGCTCTGGAGTCAGTCCTGGGCTCAAGGCCTCCTCTGTCCCTCAGCAGCAAGGTGGCATTTGGCAATTCCCTTAAGATCCTGTACCTCAGTTTCCCGTGAGAATTAAATCTACGATATGTGTGGCCCCTGGCGTATAGTAGCTGCATGATATACAGCAGCTGTTAGTATCAGAGACCAGATACCTTGGGAAAACTTTGCCTGGCTTCTTCCTTTCATCGCCTCCCAGGTGCAAACACTACAGATGGTATCCTCTAGGGTGGGCACCCACACATTGCCAGGGCTGCTTGCACAGGAGGTGTAGCTGGCCCAGCTCTTGCAGCCAGGTAGCCCTGCTGCCTGGGGTGGGTGGGCATGGCCACCGTTGGGCCTGGCTCTGGCTACAGCCTGTCTTTGGAGAGAAACCAGCCATCCTAGGGAAGGAGTCAGTGAAAGACCAGATGTCCAGGCTGGTAGGTCAGGCACCTCCACATCCCTGCTTCTCCACGTTGCATTTGGGCAGAGCCTCAAAGCTGGCTCTGGTCAACCAGGAGAGATGACTTTCTTCCTCCAGCCCTCTATCGTTTGGGGCTATTTCTCCTTCCTTCCCACAGCAGTCAACCCAGTGGACACTAGTGAAGGGGACACTAGATTGGGAGGCAGTTACGTGGGCAGCTGTACCTGAATGCCCACTGGGCAGGCCAGATTCCAAAACCCGTGGACTTTGTTTCCTGTGAAAGCAGAAGAATCATGACATGGGACAATGAAAGAGGTGGGGGAGTCAGATAGGCCCCAATGTCTCTTAACTCTGCACCTTCAAACTGAACTGAGCTCATGAGCCTTCTAGTCCCAGAGCAGGTCTCTGCTTTTCTTCTCTGGGTTCTAGAACTTTCCCTGCTGCACATGGATTCTTAGACTGACCAAGTCACCTCCACATTCTTACTCAGTGTGACCTTGCCCGTGCAGCATGGTTCTCTGCCGGCAGCCCCCCGTGAGGGGGATGGGGGAGTGGCAGGAGGCTCTTCAGCCTCTTCGTTGATCATAGCAGTTTGGGGCCCAGCGGGACATGGGAAGTGGTGTCCACTCCGAGGGAGTTGTCCGCGTTGGCTATGCCTGGGCTCCGGCCTTCTTTCTCCAGACATGGCTCTGCTTGACTTGTGCAGATAGGCTGGCTGCAGTTTGCCACGAGGGGAGACATTGTCTGCTACCCCTACCCCTACCCTGTGCACCAACCTTCCTTTATCTTATCCCAGCTCTGCCACTTACTAGCGATGGGATCCAGGCTCTAAAATGGGAAAAGTGTACTCCTAGGGGTAAAGGGGAGAAGTAAATGAGGGGATGCAAGTAAAGCAAGTTATCTGACCATCTGAAATGGGGTTAAGTAAAATTGGTGTCGTGTAAGTTGCCCGCTTGTGTGGTTGTTATAAGGACCGTGGGAAATTGTTGGTTCTCAGTAAACAATGACTATCATTATCATCACGTTAATAGTACTACTATGAATAATAAAAAAGGACCAGCAGGGTCCAATATATAATAGATTCTCAATAGATCACGGCTATTACTATTAATTTTTTAAAAAAAGACTACCAGAAAGCCCCTTAAATCTCATAAACACAAGATAGTTGCTATTTGCTTGTCATCCCTGGGAAGAGCCAAGAGGACCCACGGCCAGATGCATTAATTGTTTGCATAGTTGCATCATGAATCTGCTTTCAAGTAACTTCCTGACATTTAAAATATTCAGCTGACTCAAGCTGTTGATTTCTCTTAAGGGGAAAAAGTTAACTCTACTTGTAGCATCATTATTGAAGGGAAGCAAATCTTTAAATGGTGTGGTTTGGGCTCTTCCTGTCTTCCTGCTTTATTATTCTATGTGTTATTGATAAATGTATTTTGAGGCTAAAATCACTGCCCCCTCCGGTCATTGCCTTATCTGTAACTGGCATATTTTGGAATGCTCTGCTCACCCCTCCTATGTGAGGAAGAACCCCAGTTACCTCTCCAATTTTTCTTACTGTGCTTCTTTAACAAACACAGATTCAACCAACCTCAGATGTTATTTTAAATAATATTCACATTCCTTCTCTATGAAACAAGTCCTATTGCTTCAGGCTTAAGTTTCTCCTGCTAGTGGCAGTAATAGTTGTGGTTGAAATTTCCATTGTAAACTGTACTTTAGTTCATGGTGCCTTGGAAGAGCTGTTAGCTCATTCTGTGGAAATAACTACTGGTTAAGAGAGAGATGGTTTTCTATAAAGACTGTCTGCTCAGCCCTGAGCAAATTCCAGATTTGGTAACTTGTCAGTTACTTGAAAGCCGAACTGCAGGATTCCGATTCCTATGGGAATTTTGAAAACATTAAAACACTCCCTTCTCCTTCTGGATATAGCCCCCCTCCCCAGCATCTCCAGGCTGCTGTTCTTTTCCAGCTGTATCTTTTGTGTTGCTACACATGCCAGGATCTCTTGCTTAAAACAAATTTAGAAGCCCTTTTCCTAGTTTTAAGCATCCAATCTTAGCTTCATTCCATTTCTTAGCAAGCCCTTCAAACACACGTTATCCACTATGTCCTCTTTCCACTTCTAATCGAACATTCCCTGGCAAACTAGCTGCTTCTAGAACCACTTTCTTCAGGGACTATATTATGCAAGTAGCTATGCACTGCACCTTTGCTGGGTGGCAGATACTGTACCAAGCACTTGGATTTCGTGGTCCTCAATCTTACATCTGCTCAACAAAATAGAATCACCCCCATTTTACAAACAAGAGAGCTGAGGTTTAGAGAGGTATTTGGTGTCTTGCCCAAGGTCACGTGGCTACTTTGTGGCAGAGCTGGGACTTGGCCCCACGTTCCCTGACTCTAAAACCTGGGCACACTCTACTGTGCTGCCCTCTGATGAGGCTGGGGGCGACTTCTTGCCTTACCTGGTGGCCAGCTCTCAGCGGCCCGGTCCTTGTAGATTTACTTGGAGCCTTTACCACCTAGGAGGCCCCTCCCCAGATATAAGCTCTGACACCCAGCCTGCTTCTAGCCAGTCCCCTTGCTCTGTTCTCTTCCTTCCTTGGACTCTGTATTGTCTCCCAGCTAGTCTTCAGAACTTGCTGCAACCCCCCCATGGCTTGGTGCAGAGTTTCTTACCCAGGGAAGAGCAGAGGGGAGGGAATACTTCACAGTCATCTGGGAAACGCACTGGTATGTGGGGTCCCCCCTGAAATTGTAATTCAGCAGGGCTGGAAGGGATCCAGGTATGTGTTTTTTCTCTCCTCCCACGTTTTGGGCAAGTGTTGATTGGGAACAAGGCCAACACCCTCTGCTTTAGAACTGCCTATGGCTCCACCTGTCAGCCCATCTCTACTTCATCAGCCATCACTTTATCCAGTGAGGGTCCAGGGTGTACCCCCTGCCCTCGCCCAAAACATACCGTTCTCATCCAGGTGCCACAGTTTCGCCTCCTCTGTGCTCTCCTCTGTCCAAATCATTCCTGTCCTTTGAGACCAGTCTAATCATGCCTCCTCCTCCACCTGGAAGCCTTTTTTCTCTCTTCTTTGAACCCCTGACTTGCTTCCAGAGACTGTCATGATCATCCTCAAACTTGCTTGCTTGGGGCTGTCCTATTTCCCCAGTAAAAACATGAGCAGAATGATACACTGGGATAGACACGTAATTTGGAGTCAGACTGCCCTGAGTTCTAATCCAAGCTTCGCCACTTACAATGTGATGACTTTAGGCAGATTCCTTAGCCTTTGTCAGCCTCGTAGTTTTCTTCATCTGCCAAGTGAGAGTAATAACACTTCCTGCTGTGAGTAACTGAGGAGATACGGAAGGGTCTGGGGTAAGGGCTCAGGCATAGGTGACGCCCAGGCTCGGCAGCTGTTGTGATGAGAATGGGGATCATGGGGACGGAGCCAGTGATCAGGCTTCAGACATCTCAGGAGGTGTCGTTGGGTCAAACCTGGTGGTTGCTGACCAAGTCCTCATTTGGTTATCTGAGCCTTCATGCTGACCAGACTTTACTAACACTTCTTTGTGCTACACTGAGATGTGGGAATTCTTTCACCATGTACACCCCGCTCAGCACATCTGGTTGGGAAAGGCAGGAAAAGAGGGGCCTCCTTTTGTATGGAAGGGAATTACATTACATACGACAGTGATTTTTTTTATTTAAATAGGAAAATATTTTTGAGGATTCGTTTTAAGGAATAAACATAGCTCAAAGATCACCCTGTTGGAAAATCGCCAACCACCAACTACCAACTACAACTTCTCTTTGTGTCTCTCATTTTAAATTCCTAGAGAGAGTGTCTAGTTGGCTCAACTAGTCCATGACGTGGCCTCTGTTTGAGTCCAATCAGCTATGACTGGTCATGTTGTCACCTGGGCATTCCTCTGGGCTTGGGCTGGGAGATAAATCCACAGCAGGACATTGAGTGCAAATTCGAGTGGACTGACGTATCGGGGATAGATGTCATGGAGGCTCAGGAGACTGACGGTCTGAAGACAGTGGCCTCGGAAACCTGCCCCAGGAAAAGACACATGGGCAGGAAGAGCCAGAAGGAGGGTGCACCCTGGGAACTAGTCACCTGACCCTCACAAGGGTCCCTCTTGTCCTCGGGGGTGGGTGAGGAAGGAGACATAGCTGTAGCCCTTCCTGCAGGGAGGAAAGGGCTGTCTTAAATTGGGTCCCCTCCCCAACCTGGCCCTGCCACAAGGATGTGGGTGTAAATACTTTATTGCGATGTGATCCCAGAAACACTAGGAGGAAGTAGGAAAGTGAGATGGAAGAGAAGACGAGCAGTAAACCCTGTGCTGATGGACAGATTACTACTTGGGACAGCTAGGGCTCCATCCTGCCAGAGGTCCTTGGAGAGAGGCTATCCCACTGCGAGGAGAGGGAGCCCCTGTACCTGCCCTTCACTGGTTGAGGGTTGTTCCTGGGGTGTTCAGTCCTTGACCCTCAGGTCCTGTGCAGACTGAGCACACTTGCACAGCCAGAGAATGCCCTCAGAGAGAGATAGGGTTGGTTGTTGGCACGTAAGGGAATTGAATGCAGGTGACCTCCCAACCAGACCATGGGGAGATGGGTGGGGCACCAGGAGAATTCATATAGGGGTCAAGACTGTTCAGTGGAAGCTTCTCAGATCCCAGCTCTGCCCTTCACTGAGAATCTTTGAGAAGTTAACTAGTTTTCCTGAGCCTCAGTTGTCCCATTTGTAAAATGGGGACATTAACACCCACCTCATAGGGAGGTTGTGAGATTTAAGGGAATGTTTACATAAACATTTAGAACAATGTCTTGTCCTACTGGGTACTCAAGTAACAGTACCTGTCATCACCACCACCATTACTTGTCACTGCAGAAGAGGAAAAGAGACGTGGTTCCTTTTTTTTCTAATGGACTCTGATTTGTATCAAGGGAAAACAATATTGCTCAATATTAAATTCATTGATTTAATAGATGGAGGCAGAAGAGGCTGCTGCTAAAACATCATCAGAAGTGAACCTGGCACACTTACCTCCCAGTTATCACAATGAGACCAACACGGAAACCAGGGTGGGAAACAACACCATCCACGTCCACCGAGAAATTCACAAGGTAAGGGCGGTCGTGGTCCTCCTTTCTGCCGCGCCTAGTCCCACCAGAGGACTAAGGTCTTGCTTACATATTTGATACACAAGCCAAAAATACATGTGGAGATGGTGAAATACAGGTTAAAAACCAGAAGGAGTGAGGGAGCTATTTAAAGGGGAAAGATATGTATCCAAAACATAAATTGCTTTTGCATTTAAGCAATAAAGTTGATTCTGATCTTCCTGCTGATCCAACTGAGGGCTTTTTATCATCTGAAAAAAGGAACAAGTATCTAGAGTGATACTTTTCTAGCACTGAGTTTGAGGAATTTATCTCACAGGCTTTTATCTATATTTCAATAGAGAGTTGAAATAGAGATCATGTTGTGGTGAACAGATCTTCACGGTTTCCTTAGGAGGAACTCACATGCAATATACTCAGTCCCCAGAAGGGAAAGCCTCTGTTGCCTCAAGATTAAACATTCATCCGTTTGCTGGTTATCCATTCAAAATTCTATGGCGGAGTGTTTTCCAGCCCACCACGCGTCTAAGTGTCTCTTCATCCAGTGTCCTGTGCAAGGGACAAGCAGATTTGTTCTGTCTAGAGGAACGTGGCATTAGCGTGCCCTGGTGTGAGGTGTCTCCTGTGTGACTCTGGCAGGACTCTGAGTGCAAGCCGTGCAGCCTGTGTTCTCTTGGAGAGAGCCTGGCGCGCGGATGTTCAGGGTCATTGCTAGAGGCTGTAGAGCTGACCTTCTGTTGTGCCAGTCAGGGAGCTTGACCTCTGATCCCATCTCAGCTCCTCCACGCAAGGCCGCAGTGGCTCTCACAAAAGAGTCTTGCTTTTGTTCAAGTGCCCAGGTAATGACTGGGTTGAAACAATAGCATTTCTGTGCCGTAGAGGATAAAGGGGTCAGTTTTCAGGGGCTGCTGCCTTGACTATAAAGTAGCCTTTGTGTGGCTCTCCTCCCACTGCATGCTGATGGGCCCAGCTCCAGGGCGTGCCCTCCCCCATCCACCCCAGATAAATGAATGAGTCACCTGCCAAATAGGATCCTTTAGCATTGCTCATCGGAAGCCTAGAGAATGTTTCCAAAAGTGATTGCCTTATTCTTGTCAAAACCAATCTGAAGTCATCCTTTCTGACAGTAATTAGCTCACAGGTTCAGCTGCTTCTTAAATCTGCTCCCTGTAGATACCGGAATACCCAAGTGTGAGTCCTACCAGTAACTGATTGTGAAAAATTATTTCAGTTTCATGACCGTCGCTAATGAAGTAGGGATATCAGCCCCTATGTGACGGATTCCCGAGGGTCAGACAACTTAAGGTATACGAGAGTCATGTAAACTGTGAAGTGCGATGCAGCAGCAAGTTGTTCTCATTATTACTGTTGTATTATGGTGAAGTCATGTTATCTGCATGGTGTAGTAGCGGGTTCAGTGGAGCGTCTGTCCTCTGCGATGCCTTAGGAAAGAGGGGCTCAGTGGTGAAATGTATTTGGAAAACATTGTACACAGTTCTCTTCCTAGACGCACAGTATAATAAAGACATAGTATAATGCTGTAGGATTGTAAAGGCTCTGAGGAGTTCTCATTCCTGTACATACAGAGCTGGACAATGAACAATATATATAACGTTGGCCAGTCCTGTAAGTATCTGGCATAAAGGAAGAAGACATCTCTTTGCTGGAGAGAGGAGTTACTTAGATAAAAGATTTAAAGTCTGTCGCTGACAACGTGATGATTATCTCCTCGGAGCTGGAGTTAGAGCTGGAATGTGATCCACGGTTGCACGCTAGGCTGACAGTTTCCACTTGGCTTTGGCTGCAGGCACTTGTGATATTAGGACTGGCAGGAAGTTTAAAGATGACCTAGAAATGACAAAGCTGTGAATCAGAGAACAGAAGTGACTTGTTCCACATTACATGCTAGACAGTTGTCGGTGTCCGAGCCAAGGCCCGGGGAACACAGATCACTTAGCTCCTGGGCCAGCGTTCTTTCTGTTGTTTTCACCAACACAGACATTAGACATGGCCTTGGATGGAGTGGAATGGCCTGGCTTCCACCCCAGGATTCTGAGGTTCAGCTTTGTGGTGCCTGCTCCTGATCGCAGAATCTGAGGCAGATAACCGATAGCGGAGGAGGGGGCCAGGCCTCCCCTTGTATGTAAGCACTTTCTTGATGAAATGAAACTGTCCCCAGAATCAGGAAGAGGGCAGCTGTGGCTCAAACCTGTTTTCTTCTCCTGAATGTCATTCGATTCCATACCCAGACCTGGAGTAGTCCAAAGGAAAGTGGACGCTGAGTTTCAAGTGAATGGGCCCCAAGAGCAATACAGGTGCTGAGTATTGGCAGGGTGACAGGCCGTGTGCTGCATGCCTCGGGGTGCCCCGTGCTGTGCTCTCGTGGCCACACCGCCGGTGGAGCTCAGGGAGAGGGGGAGTGGGCATTCTGCCTATTTTAGCAGATGCTCCTGCTTCAGCAAATGGAAAACACCAAAACAAAAAAAACCAACTTGTGGAATTTGCTCAGAATTCCTTCTGTTTCACTTTCACTGTGCGGTTCTCCTGCAGATCACCAACAACCAGACTGGACAGATGGTCTTTTCAGAGACGGTCATTACGTCGATGGGCGATGAAGAAGGCAAAAGGAGCCACGTGAGTCGTTATCCTCCCTGCACCCACACCCGAGGCTCACACTCCTGAGCTCAGCCTGTCGAGGGCGACCCAGACTGCGGGCCGCGGCAGGAGGGAGCTGGCTCCCGTGCACCTCTCCTGCCCTGTTTCTGCCAAGGTTCCCCAGTTCCTCCTTTTCTGGCCAGACAGATGCAGCCTGGTAGCAGGCTCTGCCTCCGTGCAGTCGGCCCCAGAAATGACAGACACATTCAATTCCACTGTCATTTGCATAGTTGCATCTCAGCCTTGGGAGGGGAACGCGGAAGTGCCGGGCGCATTGTTTGAGGTCCCTGGTAACAAGAACTGGTGAGCCTGGACTGGAAATCCCCTAAAGCCTCTGGCCTGGCCCATGTCATTTATAACCCCAGCCCCGGCCTGGCAGTTTGAGAGCCAGAAAGGGAAAGGGGCCTGCTACTCAGTGGCCTGTTGCTCAGTCCCAAGGCTGGCTGGTTTTCAGAGAATGACAGATTATGAACGTGGCCAGGGGTGTCATTTCACAGACAGAAGGTCTGGCATGGGTCGGGGGCTTACCCAGGCAGGATCACTGGCCTTCAGACTCCCAGGCCAGAGGCAACTCAGTGGACCTTCATCTTTGCAAAGGGGCCCAGCTTTGGTTGCGGAGACCCGGTGAGACAACGACCAGGTGACCTGGTCCACTGCAGACAGTGCCTCCTCTGTGGGGCCTGCAAGGGCCGGCCTCTCTGGGCGCAGGTGCCTTAGGCAAGTTTCCAACCACAAGGGTCCTCCCCTCTGAGGTGCAGAGTGCGTCCCCGGCTTTCTGAGGGGATCAGGGGTTTCCCCTGACCCGCTGGGCCTTATTGCAGGAAGAGAAGCTGCGTACCTGTAACCCTGAGGGTGTTGCCGTGGCTGGCAGTCGATGGGTTCATTTTGCTCGTTTTTGGCACTTTACTGACTTTACTGCAGGCTGGGGCGGGGGGAGTCCAGTCAGCTGCATGTGATGGTGGACTTTCCATGCAAGGGACCTCAGGGGTGGCAGGGGGCAAGCCATGTGGCGAAATGGCAAGAGACCTGGTGGCAGAGGCTGGAAGCATGAGTTTGTCACTTATAAACTAGGTCACCTTTCAGTTTCCCCATCCTGAAATAAGACAGTGGCTTTTGCCATCTCTCCCAACTCCGAAAGTACAGAAGCCCATGAAACAAAAATAGACTAAGGGCAGGAGGGAAGAGAGGCTGGCTTTTGAAGGTGGGAAAAGAGAAAGAGAGAAGAAGAAAAGGAAAGAAAAGCCCAGACAAGCAGAAGGTGTCAAGAGGGGAAAGCTTTAGAGTATTCCAGATTTAAGTCTCCGTGGAGGGGCAGGGGAAACAGCTCTCAGGGCTGTGGGTTAGAAAAAAAGCCTTTGTCTTCAAGTGAAAGGAAAGAAAAAGGTGTGTGATTGCTCAGTAGTATAGCTGTGCTGGGGGCGCCTCCCAGAGCCTGGACGGCAGCAGCCCCGCTGTGAGGGCCAGATGCACATCCCGGGCTCCCCCTGCCCTCCAGGTGAGGTGGCTGTGTCACGTGTTGAGCCCTGAGGTTGGAGGAACCAAAGCTGTGAGAGTGGCAGGTGGGCGAGAGACAAGATCTCAAAGACTCCAAGAGTTTGCGAGGGTCAGGGAGCAGCTGCCTGCACTTGTGGGCTGCAGCCTCTGTGTTTGCCCAGTTTTGCCAAGTCTGCGTGGCCCGTGTGTCTGTGCCCCAGACTTGGCCGCAAGGCCCAGAATCCCCATGTGTGCCCACACAGGCACATGCGTTCATCATGAGATGGAGGATGTAAGTGGCACCTCCGTGCAGTGCAGAATCTGACCCCGTGTCGATGGTCCTGAGAATGCGAGAGGTTGACCCAGAGGGCAGAGACTCACCAAGTTTTTCCAGATTCCTGCTCAGGCCCTTGGTATATTAACTCAAGAGAGTTTTTCTAGGAGAATAAATTCCAGTTCGATTGTCTAGGAAGGAGACCTGGGGCACCTGATGCTTGACTGGCCAGTGCCCAGTGAATCCCATGGGTCTTTAGAGAACAGACTGGAGACTTTCCAAGCCACCTATGAAGGATGGCAGTGGGTCACAGGGCAGGAGCGGTGGTGTGTCCCCTCACTACACAGCCTCGCTTGTTGTCGGGGCGCCTTGCCAGGAGTCCGAGAAGCGAGGTCTAGTTTCAAATGCCCACAGAATCCTTCCATCCGACTCCTCTGTGGTTCCTGGGTTACCATTGTCCCAGCACAACTGAGCAGGGGCTCAAGCATCATCTTTACAGAGTCGTGGGGCTCCTTTTTCTGAGAGGGAAGATGTAAAGGCTAGATTGCCTTCAAAGGGCTGAGGACAGTCGGACATCGTCACTGCTATCCCATTCTGTGATTTTACAACTTAATGACTTTTACAGTTGGCTCTGAAAAAGGCGTTTGGTGCCGATGAGCCTCTCTCTTAGGTGGCAATGGGAGGCTTGCCGTTCAAAGGGACAAAATCATATGCTGCCCAAACCTTCTGCAAATGGCAGCTAAATTTTCGGGATTTAAAATTCCCAGGTGAAGTCAATTAAAAATAATCACCAAGTGCCCCACATTTTCCTTTCGTCAAGCGCTGGGATGTGTATGCATATGTATGGTAACCGGAGGAGGCCCACGGCCAGTCGCAGGCAGTAAGATGATAAGCCCGCCTGGAAACCTCGCTTGGTGCGTGCAGGGCGCTGGTCTGTTTTCACTTTCACGTGCAGAGGGGGAGAGGCCGCGGCAGCCTGTTATTTCACCTGAGCGCCCCGGCGACGGTGATGTGGCCTGACGTCCTTCCGTGAGGCTTTTGTGCGGAGCCCTCGGCCTGTCTGCCTTCACGGGCCAGTGGGTGGGCTGACTGACGCCGAGCTACTTTCGTGCAGGGGGTTAGGAGGAAAGTGGCGGGTGGGCAGCCTGAGAGCAGACGAGCCGTTATGCACACATGGGAGGCTTTTGTTCATAACTGTGTCCCCAAACAGGAAGCATCTGACCCAGTTAGCCACTGCACCATTTTGAAGGGACTTGTCCTCTAATTGAAATACAGCTCGGAGCTACCGAGCTTAGCATGTTGTGCATTTGTTGTCTTCTCTGTTTTCACATTAGAATAGGATCTAAAACAGCAGGTCTGTTTGCTTTCCCAGCTGAACGTACCTCTCTTGAACCTATAGATTCAATCACATGTAACCAACTCCAAGGTACCACTCAAGGCAGCATCTACTTCTGAGGGCACAGGCAGACAGATTTCACTCCCGGATTCAAGATGGCAGTGATCTGAGTGACCCGTGATTCCCTTGTCCAGGAGAATGGTCAGAGCAGGCAGCGCACTGCAGACAGTGGCGGTGGAGTTCTCCGCCAGTGCGAGCCCAGCGTCTTCTCTGCTGGGAGGACGCTTTGGCTGTTACTTGTGTTGAAGTCTCGGGGAAGTGGGATGGCAAACTGTGCCGGCTGAACTTGAGGATTTACTTCTTTGCTTCCCATTGAACCGTCAGCATCCTGTCACTTCGGAGCCCGAAGAGGCCCAGCAGGAGTGTGGGCAGAGGAAGCGGGTTGATGGCCTCTTCCCCTGTAGGCCTCAGGGTCTCCTCTGCCCCCAGCTGGTTCGCTCAGTACGGAGTAAGCTTTGTCTGCTCCCTCTGCTCTGATTTCTGAGGCTGGAGCCACCTTTATGAACCTCACGAAATTGCAGAGGGCACAAAGCTCATGAGTCATTGGGTTTATTTTGGCAGAAATGCACGAAGGGAGGACACGGGTCCAAAGGCCCAGCCTCCTGGAGAGTCCTGCTGGGTGTGTGTGTGTGTGTGTGTGTGTGTGTGTGTGTGTGAAGAGGGTGATGGTGAGGGGGCCAAATCCCAGGAAATGCAGCCCTTCCCTGTCTATCTGTCTGGGGGCAGGAGGAAGTCTGAACAAGGTGTGAGGCCCACCTGGGTTCAGACCTGCCCTGACTCTTACAAGCTCTGTGATTCAGCTCGCAAAACTGAGTGAGAGTCTAGTAAGGCGCAGTTTATAAAAGCTCTTTGTGTAAGGCTCATAATTATTGAAAAGTAATTAACACTGACTTCTGATTGGCTTCTCCCCAGGTTCCCAGCAACCTACTGCAAAAAGAATGGAATTTCCCTGGAAGCTGAGGATGTGTTTCAGGACTCCAGGGGCCTCTTCCCACTGTTTGTGGCCTTGGGCTAAGTTCTCCAGAGCCCTGCCTCGCCCTCTGAGTAATGCGCTTGGCCGGAAGCTCTGTGCTCTGAGCCTGAGCCTTGAGCTTGACTCACCCTGGGCGTCTTGTCCTCTCGAGTCCTGCGTGTCTGGTCTTGTGCTGGGGATACAGAGGGAAAGAGGGGCCTAATGAATGACAAGAAGCACAGGGGGTGGTCATGTGCTGACAGGTTACAGGATGGGCCTGGGTTGGCAGGACGTATACTGGTTTCTATAGAAACCAGCTTGCAGATCTAAGAGTGATGACAGTCTTGTGTGACTGTGTGATTCCACAGCCTATAACCAGACATGTGGGTACTTTTGTGTTTCTAGATGTGCATTGACTTTGTAGTTTCTGGCCAAGTCTCATACCGTAGTCCGGTCAGAAAAAGTTACAGGGAAAATGGAGAAGCTCTGGATCATTCTGAGAAGTGGATAAGCATTCCTCAAATAAATACAGTTGATGTGGGTAAGCGGTTTTTAAGGAGTAAGCATTTCTTTTTGAACTGTGACCTGGCTATATTAAATTGTACTGTCTTCAACCTAAATATCCTTCAAGAAGGAATTAATTAAATATACATGATTCCACAAGCAAAATCAAAACACTGTGAAGTTTGATAAACGAGTTTCGTATAAGTTAGTATAAAAGGACATCTTCAATAAAATGTAAAGTGAAGAAAAAGCAATTGCAGAGCCGTGTTATTTACTATATAAAGTATATGAGGTATACTTTATATGCTTTATACACTGTATAAAAATACCTCATTTTTAGAAAAAAAGTATGCATAGAAGAGCTTGGCAAAATGTAAAAA